TGGAGGTTGAAATTCACATTATTAAGAAGTTGAAGGATTAAATTGATGGTTTGGAATAGTTGGAGGTTGAAATTCAAGTTATTCAGTAGATTATTAGAATAGTTGGAGTTTGAAATTCACGTTATTAAATAGTTGAATGATAGAATTAATGATTTAGATTAAAATCGTATTATCAAATAGTTGTAGGATCGAATTGACATTTTAGATTGGTTGGAGGATCAAATTAACGATTTTGAATTATTTGAGGGTTAATAAATTTAGGGTTAGGTTTCGGTTTAGGTTTTACTTTAAAAGCAATTTAATCCTTCTACTATTAAACAAATTCAGTTTGGTCATCTATTTATAACTTAAATGTAAATTAATCCTTGAACTATTAGCAAGATTAAATTTGGTAATACAACTATACTTTAAAAGCAATTTCATCCTTCAACTACAATTAAACGCAACTTCATACTTCATCTTTCTTTCTGAAAACATCAAATTAGTCATCCGACTATCGATTAAATCAATTAAATCCTTCAATTATTAGAATAATTGAATTTGATGCTTTGGGTTTACTTTCAAAGCAATTTAATCCTTAACGTATTAGAAAAATTCAATTTGGTGGTTAAGCTTTATGGTTTACTTTGAAAGCAATTTAATCCTTCAACTATTAGTAAAATTTAGTTTGTTCATCCAACTATACTTTAAAAGTTATTTACTTCAACTATTGGAAAAAACTCAATTAAATTATCAAACTATAACTTAAATACAATTTCATCCTTAATCTATTAGAAAAATTAAATTTGGTCATGAAACTATAACTTAAATGCAAATTCATCCTTCAACTATTAGTAAAATTCAATTTGATCATCCAACTATACTTCAAAAGCAATTTCATTCTACAATTTTATTTTATTTTTTGGAAAAAAAATAAGTGGGTCATCAACAAAACTTAAATGCAATTTCATCCTTTAACTATTAGAAAAATATAATTTGGTCATCCAACTACACTTTAAAAGTAACTTCACCCTTCATCTATTAGAAAAAACTCAATTTGGTCATTCAATTATACTGTAAAGCAATTTAATTCTTCAGCTATTAAAAAACTCGATTTGGTCATCCAACTATACTTTAAGAGCAATTTCATCCTTCAACTATTAAAAACTCAATTTAGTCATCAAACTTAATTTAAAAGCAATTTCGTCCTTCAACTTTATGTAAACTTCAATTTGGTCTATTAAAAAAACTCAATTTGGCCATCTATATATACTTTCAAAGTAGATTACATCCTTCAACAACTACCAAAGTCTGAAAATCTCAATTAAAAATCTCAATTTTGTAGAATTTTACTAAGGGATCAAAGGGATTTGTAACGATGTTTATTTTTTCTGGACCAAATAAAAATATTGTGAAGTGTTCGTGGTCTTTGCTAGAGCAGTGGAATTTTTTAGCTTCAGTTTGGTTTTAACTATGGCAATTGGAGAAAAGATAGATTGGTTTCAATAGAAGAACTGTGGGAGCAAAGCCATTTTCTTCAGCATGAATCATAAATGCAATACTAAATAAATGTGAGCTCTGTTAGTAGCATCCAACCTCAAGTCTTTTTCAAACAAAAGATGATAAGATCAGCTACAAATGATTAATGGGCTACTGACCACCATCTAAAAAAAGGAAAACGAAAACCTTCGGCATAGAATGTATGGTCAGATGTCCACCTGTTGTTAACATATCATTCCGAAACCATGCTACATGTACATGAAGGTCGTCACAATAATTTGCACGTGGTGCAATTGATCTTGACGATACCTTCTAATCAACTAGCAAGTTTTTGACACATAACGGGGTGTCGGGGTGTACACTTTGTATTTAAAAATAGTTTAATCCTTACCACATAAGTATAGATTAAATAATAGTCTATAATACATTCGTACATCACCTTTGTTGTTACATTTTAAGTTAAATGTGGCCTCGAGTCTACCTTCCAAGAAAAAAAATTGTATAAAGCACAGATTTAGACAATAAAGCTGTGCAAAGCATGGGTATAATTAGCTTTTGACTTGGGTATTTGTTGGTGGAAGTGGCTGCTGGACTTGTCCTTTTGGAGGGAGCTTGGCTGCCATGGCTCGTAGGTCATCAGCAACCTCAGTGAAACTTGGCCTCTCCGATGGTTCAGCTGACCAACACCGCTCCATGAGCTGTCTCCAGTCTGGGTCACAAGATTCCGGCACAGGAGGTCGCAATGTGTTGCTCACAATACCACCTATATTAATAAATGAGATGAGCACAAGACAAGCAAAATTCGTTGTGTACTCAAGTACTGAGAGCACTATACAGTACAATAAACAAGATTTAACTCTTCAATTTTGTGAAGGTATTGTCGAGTCCGTCGTACAAAACATAGCATGAGCGATAGAAATACACAAGTAAATGGGATGTGAGATGATACCAATAATCGCTCCATAGTGCAAGTCCGTATACGGCTCTTCTCCAGTAAGAAGTTCCCACATTACGATTCCAAAAGAGAATACATCAACCTGTAAAGAATCCATTTGAGCAAATCCAAATTAAGAAAGCAGCTTCGATCTTTTTCAGTATCAGGCATTCAGCAACTGATTTATTTAAATCAACTATTCCCCTTTCCCTTTCTCCGGAAAATAACCGGGTGAGGAAGGAGGAGGTTGTGCTAAGTGTTCAAATGATAGGATGATCAGAAAGAAACCTTCTCAGACACAAGGCTACTACTGCCATTAAGAAGCTCTGGTGCCATCCATGGAAGAGTTCCCCTGACACCACCTGAAATTAATGTGTGACATTTTACCTTCGACAGCCCCAAATCACCAACCTGCAAGCGGTTAAGATAAATGAGAAATAGATATTAGGCGATTGCAGTATTACTACAAAACACAGTCACAAAGGAAACAGAAGAATAGTGAGAGTGACCAAATCATATGGTAAGCTCCCATGTGACAGGTCAACTGACAACTGCAACTTAACAGATGGAGACTACAAAGACAACACGAAAGTCTTGGAACCTACTGGATATGCTAGGAGCTTGATGTGAGGAGTTATATTACCTATTTAAGGCATCTGTTGCCCTCTACCATGAGTTTCATTTACAAAGTCCATCAATAACAAGATACATAAAAATTCTCCAATCTAGTCCTGTCATGCCTTTTGCTCCAAATAATTCTCCTCACTGCATCTCTCCACAACTACCACAGAGTCTTAAAAATGCAGCACTCTAATTAATAACTACTCCAGCATACACAAAGAAAGCCCAATAAAGAACATGATATAAATTAATGGCAATTCAACTACTTTAAGCATGCAATATAAGAACCCCAGCAAGAAAGTTGCATGTTTTCCTCTCATTTTTCAAAGGGGGGAAAACAAAGAAATTATGCAACAAATGCATCTTAATGAACTTAGGAAGAGATACCTGTTGAGATCAATGGACGAAACTTAAAAAAGCCTTGTCCCAGAGTCCCAGATTTCTGTGGGTCGATTACATATATTTTTTCATCCACTATACTATATCAAGAGTTATCTCCAAATTACGACAGTCTCAAATCCTATCTAGTTATGCTATTCCAGCACTTCTTTTAAAGAGGAAAGCATCCCAGGAAGATTGGAAAAAGAAACCTACATAGATTGTCGTCTAAGACAGGAGCACACAGCATATCATTTTCATTTAGAAGTGTTAGATTAAATTTTTTGTCTTCACAAATGGACTAGAACAAAATAATCTAGTAAAAAAACCATAATAAATACAAGTAAATAAATTAGCTTCACAATTGGAATTATATGTAAATTGTTCTGGTGATAAATTAAAGTATACTGTACTCATAGCTACATCAATAATTTGTCATAAGCAGTTATAAGTCAATATTATTTCATGAAGGGTTTGTAGGTGGGGGTTGGGGAGAGAGAAACCAAAACAACGTCTTATGCGTCAATGACCAACATTAGACTAAATGAAAAATAGATAGAACCATATGTGGTAACTGACCTTGCATATTGGTCGATGTGGATCTCGTAGATTAACCAATAAATTATCACTTTTCAAGTCAAAATGCACTATATTCTTTCCATGCAAATATTCCATTCCAAAAGCAACATCCATGGTAATCAAAAGCCTCTTTCGCTTATCAAGATTCCTGAAAGAAAGATCAAGTACAAATATCATGTTAGACATGGCTGAAAGACTTGACACATGCTGGAGAATGATAAATAAATAAAACTAATTCGTAAATATTAGTTTATACCAACACAAATCATTCAAACCAACTCTGCAATGGGAAATACCTCTCGCTTTTCTGCAAAGCTTTTCTCAAAGAACCATTTACCATGTATTCAGTAACAGTTGCGATTGAACCACTGGGATCATCAAGCACAACACCATAAAAAGCAACCACATTGGGATGATGCAAGTCAGCAAGCTTAATTGCCTCATTCCAGAAATCCTCTCTCTGGTTATTCATACGAATATTAGCGCAAGTAGAAACATAACAATAAAAAGCATATTACATTTGAGGCTTAAGAATATTTAGTTGACCAATGAGTAGGGAGACTGACCATGCGATCTTGTTCCGAAGGTTTCCCAGCAAAACATCTCTCATTTATCCGTTTTATTGCAACATCAGTGCCTCTCCACTTACCGTGATAAACAGTACCAAAGGTACCAGAACCAAGTTCCCGAAGTTCTTCCAAGTCGATATTTTTAATTATCTACCCACCAAGAGTAAGAGAGTAGTGAAGAGTTAAATGAAAAGGTAAGAGAGAAATATTAGGCAAAATTAGATTGCATGGCTACTGAAAGGTCACAAGGGAAGATTAATGATGCAAATCTCAAACCTGCAATCGGCCAATACCATCAGATACAGGAAATCCAAAATTTATCTTCTCTGGTATTTTAGTCTTCAAATCCTATATCAGACAATTATGAACACGTATCATCAACTATAATGCAAAAATATAAACGTAACTGATACATGCCACAAGACACCCTTAAGTGTGAGGGTGAATAACAAATTACGAACCTCATATTTCTCGCTATGCTCCATTTCTGTATTATTATTTTGCACTACACCATTTTGTAGAGTTGTAGATAGAAGCTCACTTCTGGCATCTGATAGTTCAGGATTAGAAGGCACGGATGAATGAAGAACAGAAGCGGCTACACCCTCGGCAACAGCTTGAAGTTCTTGCTTAATGAGGTCCTCTGCTGAACCTTTATAAGTAGGAGCAAAATCAATTAAGAAGCACACGATGTAAGAAGTGTGTGAAGTCGTGCATCAAAGTGAAGCATATAAAAGTTCTAACCTTTATCGGACATGACATGCTCCGATCTTAAACCTCCATTCAAATTTTCAGATGACAGGTTAGCTACATCATCCAATGGTAGCTCTATGTGCAACTCCTTGAAATTGCCTGTTTGTAACTCACCACTGTTCATAGGATGATTGTCGCCAGGAGGATCCCTAGTCACTCCAGCTTCCTTCCTAATTTGAATTTTGCTAGGCCTAGGAGGAGGAAAAGGAGTATCATGACGTAAACTCCAAGGATCCTGGTTACTAAATAGTGAGTTCGAGTTATCTGGCAAATCCCCATAGGATGGATCTACAGATGATTGTCCGTTCCCCTCCTGGGCAACAGATTCTAAATCAGCAGGAATCCTTGGTTGGGACCATAGGGTTCGATCCTTCCATTCACTAGTAGGTGGAATTCTTTCAGCTGGATGAGCAGTTTCAACACGAGGGTTGCGAGAAGAAATTTCACCAGAAGCCAAATTAATCCCAAGCTTTGATTGAAGGTAAGAATTGGGATTACCTAAAAGAGGAGGTTCTGTCAATTCATAAGATTCTGTTGGTGGAAAATTATGCATTTTGGGAGCCTCCCTCCCGGCAACCTGTTGTAATCTGTTTTCCAATACGTCATCCTTTCTGGGATCAGCAACAGGCTTGCCCAACTCATTATTAGCTAGAACTTCAGAAGGGCATATCTGCAGATTTTCCAACCTATCTATTTGTCTCAGCTGGTCACAGGCCAAGGAAGTAGCATCTTCTTTAGGAATACTGCCAGCAACTATACCAGAGTAGTCTTTTGGGGGTTCACGAGTAATGTAATCAGAAGTCTGCAAAGGCATGCCTCCAACAGGAGCTAGATCATTATTAACTGGTCTGTTCAATGCGGAACCCTCTACAGCCTGGTGTTGAGGTGAAACAAAAATCTGCTGAAATGAATGTTGGGACACCTGAGGGATATTACCCATAAATACACCATGTTCAGATTGCGCACTGCTTGTCATCATTAAACCCTGGGGAGTTGATACGCTGAAATATTCAGGATTCTGTGCCTTCTGAAGAATAGTTTTATCATTTGCATAAGCTCCCTCAAGATTCTGGGAGACCCCAATTCTATCTGCTTGAACTTTTCCAGCTTCATGGTCCACATAACCCATAATTCTTGGTCGAGCTCCAGCCACAAGTTGTTCAGCAATACTTTCTGTTTGAGTACCAGATAATACAGGCTTATTCATCGGCTGCCCTTTATCATCCAACGGCAGACTACTATAAATTGATATTGTGTCAGACAAGTTGCTTGCAGGACTTCCCTTTTGGTCCTGAGCCATTGGATCTGAATGAGCGTGTGGTAATGCTTTTTGACACATGTAACAGTCATCAAATCTAGAAGTTTTCTCAGAAACCATAACTGGTTGAGAGGGAGACCCTCCTTCGGAAAAGGTTACCTGCTCAAGATGTGGAACTTGATGCCAACCATACATTCCTCCTGGCACTGTTATAGGGACCTGAGCATGCTGCAAAATATATCCTTGGTCCGCAGGAACCCTCTGCGGCAATGTACTTTCAGCAGGATAATGCTCCAAATGAACTTGTTGAGGCTGAACAATAGCAGGAACTGCATTAGGTTTCATACTGATGGTTGAAGGATTCATTGTCATATTAACTGCAGGAATAAACTGCTGAGAGGAAGCTCCAGCATGCGAATGCTGTTGAGTGAACACAGGCCCAACTGCACCATAAATCTGCACAGGGAATCCCATCTGAGAAGGGAACTGCACATATTCAGCATGGTTCAAGTTTTCTTGGTGAGGATCCATATAAGCTTGAACATGAGATGAAGATGCTGGGAAACTCACTCCAGGTTGCTGCAGATCAAATCCCATTTGTGACTGTGTGACATTAAGAGGCACATATCTATCCAGTTCGGAGACAGCAGCCATAGTTGTAGCTGGACCAGATTTAGCCACGGGAATACCCAGCCGAGTAGCAGAAGGATCCGCGTGTACAGCATCACTATGATCAGCACTCACAGTTCCTGGGACTGTTTCAAGAGAAACACCGGGATTTCCCCTCGGCGATAATCCACCAGTGGATAGAGGACCAGTAACCTCACCATGACCATGGCCAAAGTTATCAGCACCCTCAGTACCACTCAAATCAGAATTCTGAGCAGAAGCAGCACTCTCAAAGCTCTCCTTCCTAGCAATACGAGCACCACCACCACCACTACCAAATCCATCCAAAATTCCATTCACTGCTTCAACGTACCTCTGCCCGCCATCCTGTAAATCTCCAATATGTAACAAACTGGCAGACCCGAGCTCTGAAGGTGCAAACAAAAATACCCTCAACTTAGCCGACCCATCTGAAGACCTCTCAACCAACCTTTCATACTCATCCATCATGTTCTCGAGATCATCAGGACATGAAACCGAAACAAGTGCATCAAGGTCCTCATCTGGCAATTGGTACTTTATCACCACATTCTGCCCATATGTATCTGCCATCTTCTGAACCAATTCACCAAAACCCACATCCCTCCTAACGCTAATTATCCTAGTCTGCCCACCGACGTATCTCAATGCCCCATCACTTGGCCTAGGAAGTATTTTGCCACCAAAGCTACACAAAAACTTGACCTTTCGCCCAGACACAGAACCATCACCACCCTCGTCGCTAGTGTGATCAGAAGCACTACCCACTACCTGCGCTCCAAACTTTGGACTATTACTAGACACACTCACCGAACGAAGGACAGAGGCACCCGTTGCGCCCAGTTGGCATTGGGGCGGTAAACCACGCAAGACGCACCCGGCGGCCCCAGGCACCGCATTGTTATATCCCAAAGGTATAAATCCAGCATCAGAAATTGTGGCTGTATAATAAACCGGAGGCACAGAATCGGGGTTGCCCCGGGCATCATGGGGTGGGTTCGCATAAAACCCTTCAATAGGCCTGACTGACGAGGTCAAAGGTGCAATGCGTGGGTCCTCGGGCACTGCTCTGGCTATATTCGGGGGGCGCAAATCTTTGGGTACCGAGTTCGGGTCAAAAGCCATAACTTAACTGTATTTATATGATTTTTCCTTCCTAGACAGCTAAAAATATGGAATTTTTACAAAAAATCAAGAAGTAAAATAAAGGTAAGGCCTTCGAATTCAATGTCTAGCATATCACATCCAGGTAACAGAGTAGAAAACAGAATACTTTTGAACCAGTACTAAACCCTAGAGATTAAGATAATATTGATGGGCTATCAAGAAAATATTGATTCAACAAAACAAGTAACAGATTTGAATTGAGACCCTTCAAGAATAAGCAAGAAAGAGAGCAAGAGAGGTGAGATGAAGTAGACAGAGACGATAATTTGAGTCGGTGAGCTTATCTGAGTCTGTTCTATCTCTCTCCTTCTCTCTAAGATTTCTCTATATACCTATCTTCATGTAGATGCATGTAAGAAAGTTGGCTTGCAGTTATTTTTCTCAGAGATTTCAGAGGAAAATTTTGGGTGTCGGAGGGGAAAAGAGAGGAAAGCGGCGAGAAGGGGTTACAGTGTCACTGTCCTCTTGGAGAATCGAAAGAAAAATGGGATTTTTCCAGTTCGAGTTTTGATTCCATTGCTTAAGTATTAAGACATATTTAGTGTGTGTGCGTGTTAAAGAGACGGGGGCCACGTGGCGCAGTCGAGGGGTGCATGCAGAATTTCAGTCAAAATGGAGGGGCGGAGTGACGGGAGTATTTGTTGCAACGGGACAAGGGATAAAGTAGTGTATACAAGCCAAGTTAGGTAGGGATGTGAAAAATGGCTTCAACTTTTTTTTATCCAAGTTAAGAGTGAAAACTCGATCGGAAAATCAAGGCTTGGCTCGGTCTTTATCAAGTCGATCAGCTCTTTTTTTAAGGTCTTGAAATTCAAAATTTTGTTAACAATATCAATTTTTTTTTAACAGCTGCAGTTACAAAAAACAATTGTAACTGTCGAAATTAGACAGCTACAACTGCCCGCAAGTAGGCAGTGGCCCCTGTCTAGATGGCAAGTCACGAGTCATTTTTGGCCAGTTGCACGGGTCGGCTCAAGTTCAGGCCAAAGCTTGGCCCGAGCCTCGACTCAGTGGAATTGAGTCGTGAGTTAAGTCGGCTCGATTTTTTTTTGGGTGTCCGAATCGATGAGCCGAATATTCATAAATTAAGGTTGTGAGACTTATTATTAACAAATTTTAAATATATTTCTTTTTCATTTTGAGGAGAGGTCGTGGGTAAAATAAGTTCACCGTTAAGGGGGAGGACTCGTGATCTTTGCTTGCACATCTAATTTTGGAACAATGCTTGCTGTACAGGGACCTGCTTCACAGGTCCCTGCCAAGTAAGATACAAGGTAGGGCCCGCATTAAATTTTTTCTTTTTTAAAACGTGTGGGGCCCGCCTTTTTGTGAGTGCCCTGTAATTGCCCCGTGAACCATTTCCCTGTGAATGTAGCTTAATTCCTAATTTTAACGTGGACTTAAAATGAACGAAAAGGTCAAAAGTAATAATTGGAGTAGGAGCTAGGTTCAACCTACCTCAAGGCTCAAGACATGACTACCATAAATGTTACAAACTAGGCTGCCTTGTTAGAACATATCCAATTAGTGTAAGATAAAGATCTAAATCTTCATAGAGATAAAGAATATCTCAAATATAGAAATGCAAATTGTATTTTACAGTAGAAAATATAAAAAAGACGTAAATTTACATTTTTTTTTTTAATCTACAAGTGACAAAATGTGAATTTAGATATTTTCATTGCAGTAGAGTTTAAATTTAAATTCGTCGAAATGTAAATGAGGATGCGAATTTGATTTGGAGATATTAATTTTACATTACCATTGAAGATGCTCACAGGGTACAACACGAAACGAGTTGAGTTGGGCTCTTCTTGATCTAACTAACACGTTAGTACCATTAATTAAGAGCTCAAAAAATTACGTTGTCCTTGTTTGTTTTGCCAAAAAAAAAAAGGGATATCTTGCTGAAAATTAATGGAAAATTATTTATGAAATGTGTGATAAAAAATGGTGTTTAAAAAAAAAAAAAAGACTTGATGAAAGTCTCAATTTTTGTGCAAGATTTATCAAGAATGGAAATTTTAGATAAGCATTGTGGACCAGAATCAAGAAGCTAATCTCTGGCACGAACTCCACCGTCAGTTGGAATAAAAAGGACAAACCAAATTATGCCAAACTTTCCAAAGTGCTAATGTCGTCGATGAAAAATTGAAATCACAATCTCTTTCTGAGTAACATCAACTAAATCTAGTGGGCCAAGTCGTATCATATTGTATACAGAATATCCCGTAAGATGTAGTTTGATAAGGTTAGATTGCTCGTGATTTGGAAGTCATTAAGTTGACTTTAAAGGTCACCAGTTCGTCATTTTATGTAGTTTGACGGATTATTGGTGGATGAGAATGTTATTTGTATCACTGACGATCCTGATTCGATTTAGACGACAGTGAATACCATGTTCAATAATATTGATTTCATATTCCCGCATTTAATTGGACGTATCATTTAATATTTACTATATTGACACATAAGGCGACGAGGAGTGATGACAAATACATTATTATGTAAATAAGCTTAGCCACTGTTTGGTTAAAATTATATTTTTAGTAATTTTTGATAAAAGTTAATGAAATATGTTGGTGAAAAATTATGAATCTTGTGAAACGTATGGTTAAAAAAAAAAATTAAAAAAAATTGAGTTTTGAAAAATTGAATGCCAACTAAGGGTTAGTTGGCTGTTAAAAGTTACATCGTATCATATTTTTAGTAAATTTTATTAAAATTGAAAATTTTTGTGATTGAAAATTTGTGAATCTTATGAAATATGTACATCAGGGTTTACATCCGATATACATAATGCTCAAGTGGCATTTCATCATTGGTTGGTGAAAAAAATGTACATCGAAATTTACACTCCGATGCACAGATTTTGATAAAAATTGATAAAATATATGATTGGAAGATTATGAATCACATGAATGATGTGATTGAAATTCATTGTTGACTTTAACTTAGATTAAAATCTAAGTATTAAAATGGAGCTTAGTCAATAAAGTTATTCAAATTAATACCCATGATTTTGACACATCAAGTCAAAATTCAACATTTTATGTTATTAGTGTTTTTTTCGTGAGAAGAAATCATTATTTAGTCCACAAAAATGTGTATATTGGGATTTAATAATTCACATAGTGAAATCAATAACAATATTATCTTGAAAAAAAAAAGTGAGACGTGGTTAATTGAAACTAATTGCTTTCTTTGTTTAGAAAAAAAGGAGGCGTGATAAATTGAAACTAATTGCAATCTTAGTTATAATAAAACTTATAATTAACTAAAAAATATGGTTAACTTGTATCAATTGCAGTTTAATGCTGCATTTTACACAATTGATAGCGTAAAGATCTTCATATTCTAGCGTATGTATTTCTTGTATATGAAGTCATTTACCAAAGTCCAATCTAAGAAAATAAATCATGTGACAGTTACTAGACAAAAATATCATCATATTTACTATAAAATATAATATATTGAGACATAATTAATAAAAAAATATAGTTGTATATTATTATTATTATTATTATTATTATTAGGAGAACTTCTACCTGATGTCCTAACCTTTCAAAATACTGCAGATAGCACCACAAACCTTAAAATCGTATCTGATACCTCCAAACCTTTCAAAACTATGCGATAGGAGGACCTCTGACCGTTTTCATTCAAAAATTCATTAGTTGATCAAAGTCAAGTGTTTAATTAATTAAGTGTTAAAAAATCATTTTTCTCTTTCTAAAATTTGTCAAATTAAGATGAGACACCTGACTTTTGGACAATTGACAGAGTTTTCAATGGAAATAGTTAGAGGTTTTTTCGGTGCACATTTATTATAGGATTGGGATCACATGATATATTTTTGAAAAATTTGGGATCTTCGACGTAAATTGCCTTATTTTAATTGGTGAAACTACAGTAAAACCTCTTGCATTTTGGTCCAATAACAAATTTTTGGACGAAAACCATCCAAATGTACTTTTACTGCACAGCTTGAAAGGTTTGGAGTCTATTTGTTATAATTTAAAGTTTTGAGTGTTATATGCACTATTTTGAAAGGTTTGGGGCCTTCAGTGTAATGTGGTTATATTATATGTCGGTAGTGTAGAGGAATGTTGCAAACAATATTTTAATAAATAAATTTGTCTCTTCTTTAGAAATTTAATATTTTAAACAAGATAATCAGAATCCTTATCGTGTTATTTTATAGTCACATCCAAGCACGATAGAAAAGTGAAAATCATTGAGATAACACATTCACACTATAAAATATTTTATATTTTAAACAAGATAATTAGAATCCTTGTCGCGTTATTTTTATTTTGCTACAAGACTATTTCAACCACACATTCCCATAATAAAAATATTATATACGTATATAAAAAAAATTTCATACTTTTAACCACACTTTCTTCTAAAAATCACTATTGAAAACTCGTTTTTCTACAATAATGATTGTCAAACGGGTTCTTAATTGATTAATCTTTTTTTTTTCGCTTTAAAATGTGCAAACAAGTGGGGGTCATGTTCCACGGACAAATGCACCAAAAACAATAATATTTTGTCATTTGCAAAGGCAAAAGTACTCCCCAAACTTCGACATGGAAAAATATTTATTTTGGGAGAAACCATCTTTTCGGTTTAGATAAGGTTTCGTGGCACATTTACCAAATAATAAATATTACTTTGTCATTGAACCACTTGACGCATGAGAGTTCATTGTGAATTTTGAAGAAATTGATGAGTAATTCTAACAGCTCTGGTGATTTTATTTGACGAATTTGGGGCATGAGATATCGTTTCGTTGTACTAGATAGAGGTAATAAATAACCTGTGATTCTTAAACAAGATCTTTGAGATATTTTTTCAAGAATAATAATAATAAAATAAAATCATGTATAAAATCTCCACCCATGAAGTTGATATATTCTTGATAGTGATACTGATATAAATCAATATTTGTC